AAGATCCAAACTAGGGGTGTACATGGATCGGGTTGGCTTGGTTTTATCAAAACCAAAACAAACCAAACCAATTATATCGGCTTGGATTTGTTCGGTTTTGTCGGATTTTCGCGGGTTTTTAGGTTTTTTTATTATATGAATATTATTTCAATCTTGCTTGATTACAATTATAGATAAAGTTTTGATAAGTGAATATATGTTTACTAAAATTTTTTAAAAAATGAACAAACATATAATCTATTAAAGTATTCTTATGGGGAGATTTTTTTTAGTAACACATGATAGTTTATTTTCTTAGTCGTCTAACAATAATTTTTGGTTGATGCACGCTTTCAAGGTTAACCGAATTTAGTAATTAAACATAAAAATCAATATGACACCTAAATAATGATATATTCTATGTAATTTTAGATTATCGAAATACCACTTCAAATTCGAAAAAGATATAAAAAATCTTGAAATATATGAATATGAAAGAACAAAGATGATTGTGTTAGAACATGCGCAGCGGAAACAAGCATACAATCCAGGCATCAAATACATGTAAACTAGACAACGCAATAATAACGAGATTAGAAGCACTAACTTCTTGAAATAGTTGCACCGATCTTCCAAACAGCAAGAATCCAGGGCTGTAGTCTTCTGCTATTTGCCAAACCTTGGACGATTTTTGCTTTTGGGTGGGCAAGAACAATACAACTCTAAAAAGTTAGTTATTGGGTGAAATTAGTCTTGCTTTAATAGAGTTATTTTTGGCTGAAATTGTGCTCCAAAAACGTGTAGGATTCTCTTTCTACAAGTAGAATCCTACTCCAACTCTATTAGACGACTTTTCTCCCAAGTCACTTTTTAGTTTTTACCCAAGTTTTGTCCAGGTTTTTACTAGGTATAGCAGGGACCACAGAAATAATAAGAGGCTACCAATTATAGCATTAGTTCGAAATCAGCATGAATTAATTCTTACTATAATTAGTTGTAATTTATTCCACTAAAAAACTGCAATTGAACTCCTCAATATGAATTTCGAAAATTCAATAACGCTTATTTTAACTCCCCGTGTTAAGATCTCAAATACCAGTTAATTAAATTAAATCACTGAAAATTTAATTTAATCAACTAATTAAATCCTTTACAATTCCGCTTAAACTATTTCATGTGACGGATACAAAATTCACCGGCCGGATTTTCACATGAAAACTTATAAGCTTACATAAAGGGGTATCATCAAACTCAAAACTGTATCATGGATTCTATCAACTAATTATTATTCGTTATTTTCCAATCTATTAGGCATACACTAACTCTAAATAGAGTCGTACCTTTTGATAAATCAAAACAATAAACAAATTACATTGATCATAATAATTATATCAAAATTAAGAGTATAAGCTCATTTAATGAATTAGAGAAAATATTTTATATATTCAGTACAAAAATATCTTTTCTCTACTTGGTCCGTTCAATATACACTGAGTATACTAGCACAAGAAGTTAGAGTAAAACTACTCCCATAATCAAGACAAATTATACGATAATCTTGTGCTACAATCATCAAGATATTTTGTCCAACAATATCTTTGATTGTGAACATAGTTTATTAATTATGAGAACCAACAATTTAATCTTCTGTGCATGAGCTAAGACTCCATACACTAAATTGTCTACTACATAACTAAAAGGACACACATGTAAAAAATGATCTATTTAAAATAGTACTTTACTGAATTGAATAAATTAAATAAACAATTGTTCCATAAAGAATAAAATATAATACTAGGTATAAACCGCATGGTTAATAGTATATCTGATGATAGGCTATAATTGCGTATTTTAGTCGATTATTACACTCTAATTTACTACTTTAGTTGAGTTTGCGCTTTAATCGCTAGTGTTTTGCACTAAAGGTGTGTTTTATGCCTTGTAGGAGTGATTCCGAGCTATATAGATGTTATGGAATGAATTCAAGTGATTTGGAGCTTTGAAGTCTGAGTAAAAGCTCAAGGAATTAAGCCGAAATCGTATTCGGGGATCAACGGATGATAAAACAACAAAACAAAGACTCGAGTAGGCATATTGCGCACTATCTAGTAAAATGTACATAACTTTTTTCTCAGAACTACATTTGGTCTCCACAATATATGGTTGGAAAGCTAACTCAAAGGGCTACAACTTTCATGTTTTACGTTTTTCCAAATTCCTAACGTAACAGGATGAAAAACGCGGTCGAAACCGCGACCGCGGAACTGACCGCGGCAGAAAATCAGAGAACTTGTCTGGCCGCGGTTCTACTGCGTTTTGGCCGCGGTCGCGCCGCTCCAGGCGTCAAAAAGAAGTCCTATTTCGCCCGGGCCAAGTTTATTTCGGCCCTACACTATTCCAACTTGTATAAAAGGGGTCCTAAACCTATTTTGAAGAGGGGGGGACATATTTTGAGACATAGATTCGACCTAAGGAGGCAAGAACACATTGGGAACAAGGCGGAGAATTCTTCTACGAGTTTTTTCCTTCCTCTTCCTATTTTTCATTGTTGGTTATGACTTTTAGTATTGTAGTTTTACATACTATTATGAATAGCTAAATTTGTTATCTAGAGTTTTGATAGAACATTTTGTAGGATAAATTCTTGTTATGTTTTTATATAATTGAGTCATAGCTTTTCTCTATTTGTTCAACTACGTTTATATTCTGGTTGATTGAAGAGCTCTCAATTAGCTGTGCCTATTTAGTATGCATAACTCGGGAGAGAGTGCATATTTAGGTAATTGTTGAACAACACCACTCCCAGAGTATATGAGGGATCAATAACCGAGGGTTTAAAGGTGGGATTAGGGATAACGAAGCCTTGGGTGCGATCTGAAGTGAGCTGTATTAAAAGCCAGCTAGCGTAGCTCGGGAGAGTGCGTCTAGTAAATCGTCGTAATTACTCGGGAGAGATTTACGTTAATAAGAGTGCTCATGATCGGTAGAGAATACTTAGGCGAAATTATAGAAGACATAGCGGGAAGGATTCCGACAATTGGGGAAATCATAACTCTAGACCTCCTTAATCTTTTCTCTAACCCTCAGTATCGTTAGTTGTTAATTTACTATTTTAATTTGTTAGTTAATTAGTTAAACACAAGAATCTTAATATCTATAAGTTAGGAATTGTTCAACCTTGTCTTCTTGGTGATAGTGAACAGCTGTAGCTAAACCTTAGTTCTCTGTGGGATTCGACTCCGGACTTGTAAACCGGATTATATTTGCAACGACCGCATTGTCCTTTTTATAAGGCATAGTTGGGCGTGATCAATATCCCAACAGATTGACGCATTTCAATAACACTTAATAATAAAGTAATACAATCATTATTTAAAGTAAATAAAAATGAATGCACTGTATAGTTCTATTAAATATTACATCCCATAGACATCTTTTAAATAATATTCTATATAAAGTCTTAAAAGTATATATAAAAAATTATATATTTATATGCCGGTTTGGTTCGTTTTTTTTTTACTCAATACCAAACCAAATCAAACCAAACCTAATCGAGTTTTCTAATCGGTTTGATTTGACTTATCGGTTTGGTGCGGTTTTCCGGTTGGGTTTGAACACCCCTAATTCAAACCCATATAATATCTCACTTGGAACACCCAAAACCGTTGGATTACCTCACTCAACTATATTAAGGGTATTCAAAATATAATATATAGCCATATAAAATAATATTTGACCTATATATATAATATAAATATCTAGCGAAGAGTGTTTGTTTGAATACCCTTGGCATAGTGTGGTCGCGCTATTGATTAGTATAGTATTAATTTGAGACCGCTCAAGAAATTCAACTTTCAATTATGAATTCGGTTCTCGAAATGGTGATCTAAGCCAATGAATCTAATATAATGTTGTCTGCCAGATGACTCTAACGAGGCCAACAACGGCGAATGTAGCGTTGAATCGACGGGTTCAATTGAACCCATAACTTTCGAGTGGAGTAAAAATTTATATGTAAAATTCGACTTAAATTGTAAAATTAGTAGTTGTAGATATGAACCCATAACTTTAAAATTATAATGGGTTTAATCTAATTAAAACCTTAAAAGTTGAACCCATAAAATTGAAATCTTGGATTCGCCTCTGCTGCCAAAAACCAGAAAAACGTGGGTTCAACTTCTAAACCAAGCAACAATAGACAACCATGAGCTGGTATATGATATGACTAGCTAGCAGTAGTTTTAAGAAATTGCAGTAATATTTATCCTTCTTGATTATGACTCTTTCGCTTTCAGGGGCGGCTTGCTAAGCATATGTTAGAGTGAATACACTTCTCTCTGAATTAAAATCATGTTGAATACAAATTTTATGTAAAAGTTTTTATTTTCTCCGCAATTAAACGCAAAGCAAGAACCAGTAGTTTATTAGTCTCAATTATTATCTGAATACCCATTTGATTTTTCATTTTTTTTATTGAAAAATTTATTAGAACGAGAGGTGTTAATCTTTTTATCACCCGATATCGAGCTATTTTTCGGCAGGATGGTCACTGCAATAGATTTTAGCCTTCAATTCTTAGGACACAGGAATATCAAACAATGAATGAAAAAAGGCATGAGAGAAATAGTCTTTGGAATGGATGAGCCTAGAGCTGCCACCTTAACCAAGCACTCATTTCTCTCATTAAATTACTTATACTCGATGCTTACATCAAATCATTAAATATTAGGTATGTCTTATATATATATATATATATTTTGTAATTACTAACTAAAGTTAAATTATTTAGCTTAATGTTTATGTAAATACTAAATATTAACCCAGTTTATATCTATGACTAGCTAGCAGTAGTTGAAAGAAAATAAATTACACAAATGCAGAATCGCCATTCAGTAAAATTCATGTAACATATGACTAATAATAATTCTGCTTTGGTCATATATGATATGCTGCAGTGTTATTGACTTAGTCGTTGCAAGCAGTTAGTCGTCTAGCTATCCCCACCATTTATTGTAGAGTGAATTCCATTTTACCCTTTAACCTTTTAGGGTAGGGAAATAATATCCCCTTCACCTATTGAATAGGAAAGAGCAAAAGTTTACCAGAAAAATAAAAAATTTGAATTCCAACAACAATTGGGTTAATGCCGGTGTCTGTAACTGGGATGGTGGCCAAGTGAACCAAGAACAGTGCAAATCCAATTGGGAGAGGTGCCAAAATCTATAAAACGCAACCATGAGTTAGAATACACACACACACATTAAATAGCTCAACAGTAAAATCTAAAGTACAAATGAGAAGTCAAGTAAGCACTCACAGGGACATGGGTGTCTCTTGCATTTCTTTTGGCATCAGTAGCAGAGAAAACTGTATAGACAAGAACAAAAATGCCAACAATCCCAGCACCAAGGCCATCTCCTTTGGTGTAACCATGATTCACAACATTGGCACCTCCACCCTTAACCTGATACAAAGATGGCTGGAACCCTTTGACAACACCAGCACCACAGATTGCACCAAGGCATTGCATCACAATGTAGAAAACTGCCCTGGTTAGAGACAATTTCCTTGCCAGAAACATACCAAATGTCACGACAGGGTTAATGTGTCCACCTGATCAAATCCAAGAGTATCTCAATGTCAGAGCACAAAGAAAAATATAAAGAATTAAGTTATATACTGTAAAGATTTCTAAACACAATCAGTGTAGTTTTTCATGGGAAAGCAGGTCAAATACCATTTTACCCATACAACAACAAACTCAGNCAACAAACTCAGTGAAATCCTACACGTGGGTCGGGTAATGGTAAATGTGTAGACAGACCTTACCCCGACCTTGTGAAGGAAGAGATATGTTGTTTCCCTTAGACCCACGGCTCAAGAACAGTGAAAAGGACACAATAAGCAAACGGTAACAATGGCAAGGAAATAAGATAACATAAACAAATAACACAGCATGTAGTCGCAAAGAATCTAGGAATACAAAGCTATAAGAGAAGTGCGAAAATTGTAGAGATTTACTACCTTATAAGTAACAAGATTTTGTAAATATTTTTACACATCATAGCACTGAAATACATTCTAAAAACCATTTCCGCTGAGGATCTGACATCTTTCAATAATATACTGCTAGAAGTTTAATCCAGTTCTAGCAGGAAATGCTATTAGTATAGCTAAGGAAATCCCATAACAACATTGCAATATAAAAGATAACCACTAAAAAAGCTATTCTGCTCCAAATTGTCCAAAAGGAAACTGTTACAATTTTGATGTATTATGGAACTTCAGAGAACTACTTCAAAATAAGAAGCTCAGTAACTGTCAAAGGGGGTTCTTTTTTCCATTCAAAAGATGAAGGGGGTATTATTTCCCTACACTAAAAGGTTAAGGGGGTAAAATGGAATTCACTCTTTATTGTATTATGATGATAATGAGAGGTAAATAAAATATACATTTTGTTGTTGGACTTTAATGAGCTGCTCCAAGTAAAATAAATATCTTTTTTTTAAAAAAGAGAGACTAATACTTAAGTGAGTCCAAAATTAGAATGAAGCGAGGAAGAAAAAATGGTGAGATTTTAATGAGTGCAAAAATTTTGAGGAGATGAGGTTCTCTCTCTCAAATGTTATTGGAGATTGCTTCTACATTATTTTTTCTTTCTTGGTTTTTTTTTATTTACAGAATGATGGTAAACTATTTTGAACTTAAACTTAAATAATGTGATGTTCAATAATGAAGAGGAGCAGCATCCTGATATTGACTATTATGACTTATAGTCAAACAAGTTTTTCTTTAACAATAATTATTATATGCCTTTTGAATTGTTAATTATTATGACTTATAATATTTTTACATAGTTTTCAAATATATAAATTTTGTTACAAAACACTTGAAGATTCTATGTCTAAATTTATACCGAAAATTAGATAGTTTAATGAATCGTTTGACATGAAATGACACAGAGGGAGTAGTAGAGAATGAAGTTATATCTACCCTTTACTAATGCTTAATTTTAGGGCTCGTTTGGTACGAGGGATAAGAGATAATTAATTTTTTTGTGATTAAATTTGAGATGAGTTTATCTCATGTTTGGTTGGGATAAAATTATGATATAACTAATCCCGGGATTGTAGTATTTTTTTATTCCCATGGACGGGTGGGATAACTAATCCTGGGATAATTAATCATAAGATAACTTATTTCCCCACCAAACGACCCTAACTGGTTCCAGAGAAGTCAAAGTTGGAAATTTGAAAAGAGAAGTAATCAAGTGGGATCAGTTAGACTGACAAGTTAGACTTTAATAATACAAATGTTAGGTGTAGAATTTAATTAATGAAAGACTTATATATACATCAATAATCCTTCTTCCTTCCTAAGTCCTAACTAAAAATGGAGATTCAGTTTTCTAACTTAGTTGGATTCTTGCTCTTTCTCTCCAGCATTTTCCTTTTATTCAAAAAATGGAAAACCAGAAAACTAAATTTGCCTCCAGGTCCATGGAAATTACCTTTTATTGGAAGTTTACACCATTTGGCTGTGGCAGGTCCACTTCCTCACCATGGCCTAAAAAATTTAGCCAAACGCTATGGTCCTCTTATGCATTTACAACTTGGACAAATTCCTACACTCATCATATCATCACCTCAAATGGCAAAACAAGTACTAAAAACGCACGACCTCGCTTTTGCCACTAGACCAAAGCTTGTCGTGGCCGACATCATTCACTACGACAGCACGGACATAGCATTTTCTCCGTACGGTGAATACTGGAGACAAATTCGTAAAATTTGCATATTGGAACTCTTGAGTGCCAAGATGGTCAAGTTTTTTAGCTCGATTCGCCAAGATGAGCTTTCGAAGATGGTCTCGTCTATACGAACGACACCCAATCTGACGGTCAATCTTACTGACAAAATTTTTTGGTTTACGAGTTCGGTAACTTGTAGATCAGCTTTAGGGAAGATATGTGGTGACCAAGACAAATTGATCATTTTTATGAGGGAAATAATATCATTGGCAGGTGGATTTAGTATTGCTGATTTTTTCCCTACATGGAAAATGATTCATGATATTGATGGTTCGAAATCTAGACTGGTGAAGGCACATAGTAAGATTGATGAAATTTTGGGAAATGTAGTTGATGAGCACAAAAAGAACAGAGCAGATGGAAAGAAGGGTAATGGTGAATTTGGTGGTGAAGATTTGATTGATGTTTTGCTAAGAGTTAGAGAAAGCGGAGAAGTTCAAATTCCTATCACAGATGACAATATCAAATCAATATTAATCGTAAGTTCTCTATATCTATTTACTTCCTTGATTTATTTTCCTAATTTAATATTCAATGAAGATTCTCAGCGGAAACCCGCCTTAGAGATTGAACGGCAATAAGATAAGTCAATGTTCAATCTAAGACAGCACTGAGCGCTGATAGCTCGTAGTGAACAGCCCCATTATGAAACCAACCTGAAAGCAGCCTTTGGTACTTAAGTAGTTAAGGTTTGGAACCCTTGCAACTATGATAGAAAGTTGTTTGCTTGTATACAAGCAAATCAAGATTTGAAGTTTATGATATCTGAATTTCACATCAAACACATAGTCTGTTTTAGTTCTTAGGTTCACAATTATATATTTATACTTATTTAATGGATTTTTTAATATAAATACAAGGTCTGAACCCGCACATAATACTCCAGCGAGTACTGAACTTACTACATTTTTGCACCACATTTACTAGATTTTCTTATGCATAATTACAGATATAAACTTCCAGATTTTCTTACGTGAGTTCTGCTACAAGCTTTAGAAAAACGAAAAGAGCTAATTCCCTTTTCAAGTCTAGCTTATCAATTATTACCCAACTCAATATATATGCTAAAAGATCATGTTGATTGTGAGTTTTTGAGTTTATACGCTGTTCATTGAATTTTACGTTGTCAGTGTATATAACTTAAATTCTTACTTATTTTGTTGTTCTGTTTTCTTCGTCATATAGGACATGTTCTCTGCGGGATCTGAAACATCATCGACGACTATAATTTGGGCATTAGCTGAAATGATGAAGAAACCAAGTGTTTTAGCAAAGGCACAAGCTGAAGTAAGGCAAGTTTTGAAGGGGAAGAAAGGTTTTCAACAGATTGATCTTGATGAGCTAAAGTATCTCAAGTTAGTAATCAAAGAAACCTTAAGAATGCACCCTCCAATTCCTCTATTAGTCCCTAGAGAATGTATGGAGGATACAAAGATTGATGGTTACAATATACCTTTCAAAACAAGAGTCATAGTTAATGCATGGGCAATCGGACGAGATCCTAAAAGTTGGGATGACCCTGAAAGCTTTATGCCAGAGAGATTTGAGAATAGTTCTATTGATTTTCTTGGAAATCATCATCAATTTATTCCATTTGGTGCAGGAAGAAGGATTTGTCCGGGAATGCTATTTGGTTTAGCTAATGTTGGACAACCTTTAGCTCAGTTACTTTATCACTTCGATTGGAAACTCCCTAATGGACAATGTCATGAAAATTTCGACATGACTGAGTCACCTGGAATTTCTGCTACAAGAAAGGATGATCTTGTTTTGATTGCCACTCCTTATGATTCTTGATTTATTTAAGTAGTTGCAGAAATAAAAAGCCGGGGCAAACAGAAAAAAGTATTGCTGCTTCTAGGTATTTTCTATTGGAAAATTTTCAAAATTCATCCACAATATATAGTGTTATATCATATATGTGTACTCAATAAGTGTTTGGGGCTATTATATTACAAATAAATAAAGGTTTTCCTTTTTACATTTGTATTTAAATGTTTGCATAACAGAAACTTCTGATTAGATTTAATTTTGTTCTCTTTATGATGTAAAAGGACAAAATTCTCTCACCATATGGGAAAAAGAAAAGTTTTTTAAGTATCAATGTCCAAATCACATCAGCAGAGGGCCATGAAAGAGTATAAACACACAGAAAATTGCAGCCTTCAGATATGCAACCACTAATGTCTACTCCAGTTCCAAAAGTCAAGGGAAGGAAACATAACTAACTGTCATTACTGAAATTTAAAAAATCAGAGCTAAGGTGGGGAGTTCTTGGAGGGAGGGATGCCAAGGGTCTATCGGAAACAGCCTCTCTACCCCAGGGTAGGGGTAAGGTCTGCGTACACACTACCCTCACCAGACCCCACTAGTGGGATTATACTGGGTTGTTGTTGTTGTTGTGATGCTACTGGCAAAAATACAAAGATAAAAATAAGAACTTTTTAACACTATCACCAAAATTAAGCACGGTATGACTTTCCTACAGAGATTTATAGTATCATCAGCCTAATGATTGGTGCATGTGATCCAGAGAATGAACAGTATGATAACTCAATTTACAGGTAATTAATTGTCTACTACGACCAAACTTGAAAAGGCACATACTTGCCACTAAATACACAGGTTTCCGTCGAAAATTGTGATAAGTGAAGAAAGAGAACTAAGGAAACCTTACAAGCAAGTATGAAGAAATTATACAACCTTGTCATAATTTACGGAGCAACTACAGATCCCTTCTGCACATTGGGCACGAGCCATGTTTCAACAGCCATGTATCTATACACGGTAAGTGAAACATGTGATGACATTGTGGCAAACATCTCACAGTTTCCCCTAGTTGAAAATCCTGTATGCATAGAAATAGAAAAAAAAAAAAAGGTTTCAGGATCGACAAGTAATTCAATATCAGGAGGAATAGCAAACAAAGGTGTAAATGTAATTCACCTGAAGGCAGACTGAACAAGAGACTCTCTCTCCAGAATCATCCAAGTTGCTACCATTTGTGATTACAATCTTGGGGATCTTTTCAACAGAATCTCCATGCAAACCTTTAGCCCCTCCCGTATCAAAAATGTCAGGGGCCTCGTCATATGCAGTTTCAACAGCTCCCATCTGATCAACAAGAAAGTGTCAGTCAATGTGAAGGGAAATTAAGTTGCTGGAAAAATTTCACAATGGCTAACAGTCATGCAGCATATACCTGACTCTGGACTGCACTTAGCATAGCTGGACCTATCCGTTCACGAACCAATCGACCGCTTAACAGGCTCGTGAGTACATCAATCTGTTCAAAATAAAAATACCATCAGTCAAGGATATATCTAAGAGCCACAAAAAATCTTGGGACTCTCTCTCTCTCTCTCACTGGGTGTGTGGGGAATCCCACAAGATGAGTGTCGTAAAATGCGGATGCTAAAATGGATGTATAATGAACAAGATAGGACAGGATTAGAAATGATTACATCTACTGAAAGTATAAGTAGCATACTTTAGAGTATAAAATGAGAGAAAATCGATTGAAATATTTTGGAACCTAAAACCTTGTAAAGGGGAATTGTCTCAAGAGATCGACAATCTCCCAGAGTCCATATAGACTAAGTGAATAACATAACAGAATGGAAGTAAAAGTACATTGGGATGTAACTTTTAGTTGGGTTTGGTACACTTACATTAGGTCGCCAAGAATTCCTTTAGATTGTTTAGATATTTGTATGTCATTATAAGGATAGATGTGAGATGTAGAGAATTTCTAGTGCAAGTGAACCCTCAATTTGTCTTATAAGACAAATTGATTGAATTGGAATGAAAGGGTTCCAATTGAAGCTGGACGGATATAAATGATTCATAAAGCGGACCTCAACTTATTTAGGACTGAGGCATAAATAGTAGGTTGTTGTTGTTGTTGGTTTGTGGGGAATGGCACGTAGAACGAAGCTTATTGGATCAGGACATGATCTATTACTATCCCAGACATTGAAGTTACAAAATCACAAAACCAACTCTCGGTATTATCAGTGAGAAAAGAGTCTATATTGCTTACCAAGTAAAGAAGACATCTAATTCCAGATTCATCCGACTGCCATAGTAACAGAGAAGACTCAAAGACTTCAAGAGAGAAAACGGCGCCAGAGAGGGCACCTACCGCAGCACCTCTAACAAATCCACTCTCTGTCTCTTGGCCTATCAAAGCTCCAGTCAATGCTCCTAATAAGGTTCCCACTGCAAGAAGCCAGCACATTTCTGATAAGTTCTACATTCCAGCAAACAGGTAAAAAAAAAAGCCCAAACTTTTGAATTTAAAGCAGCCCCCTCTTAACATTACAAACATTTGGAACAAAATCACCGACCAATCTGCACAGGCACACACATATAGCCAATCCCTCAATCAACTTACATTATCCTTAAGAGGGTAAACAGGGTTGGGTTGGCTATATGAATCTCTATAACCATTCCGCTCTATATGGATATTGAACCATTTGCCCATAAATTCTAAACCAGGGTGCCAACATAGCGTGGAGTACGTCCCTACAAATTCATTAAAAGAGCTTAATATCTCCGCATATTTTGATACCAATAGGTGCAGTCGTTATTATATGCTTAGAAGCGCCAATCATTTTCCTTTTTGGCTTCTTTTTCCCCATAATGTAAATCCCTAAGTTTCAAGTCACAGAACAGATTCAACAAGGTATTACCAAACCAAGGCTTACTTCTAATGGTCATGGGTCGAGCCAGGGAATGGAAGGAGGTTCATCACCGGAAAATTACACTATATATACCGGGTCAAAAATGTATTTTATGCATACATAATAGATGTTGAATCCCCTTGACTTATTCATATGTTTACTTCTTTATATTTTGAACCCCTTACTGAAATTCCTGATCCCCCGCTACTAATGGTATCAACGGAGTTTCCTACACAATCGGTGTGAGTTCAATTCTCACTATCTCCTTTCCCCGAGGTAATAGAAGGAATGTTTTAACAAAAAAACAACAAGACAACTGCCCGAAAAGAGAAAAAAAAAATTACACGCCCCTGATCACACATGTGCAACCCACCCCAATATTAGAATGCACACATACATCAAGAATTATATAAGCTATCAAAGCAGCAAAGTTATATGATATGCAATTCTGGGCAAATATCCCAAAAAAAAAAAAAAAACATATGGAGGAATATACAGAATCAAGCAAATTGAAAAGAGAAAGTGATTATGAGAATGGCTAGCAAGCGATACGCACCTAAAGCAAAGAAGAAAGTGAAGATTGCAGAGAACAGACTGCCGATGATTGCAGATACAGCAACGGTAAAGAAATCTTTGGCCCTATCTACCAAATCCCGTATGCAAAACGAACAAATAGACGATGAAACAGGCAAAGCACGAGATGGGTATGCGTAAAACTCCATTTCCATTGATTCTTTTGTACAATCAACAACTCTTCCAACAAAAAGGTTGTCTTTTTATACAAATTTTACTAAGCTTATAAACGTAAAACTCAATTACATGTATTTGGGCAAGTCCTATTGTTTGTTATTTAAGGTGTTTAAAAGCTTATTTGCTAAAAAAAGAGAGAAATCGTATTTATAGCTTTGGAAAGAGGAAAGGAAAAGGCCTGTTTTTGATCGAATGAATTGTATATGTCTAACTTGTTATGCAAAAAATTCAAAGGGAAAGAGAGAAAGTGGAGCTTGTCTCTGAATGAAACAAACGAATAAAGAAAGAGTTTTGATGTTTTGCTTTAGAGTTATAAATGAACCACAAAATTAGAGTCACGTGCCTTAAGAAGCTTTAGATGATCACTCGTTTTTCTCCTCCGTGAGTCACAAGAAAGGGTATGAGAAGATGGATTTTCATTTGAATTTAGATGACCTAGTTTGACTTGGCATAAAATTTATGAAAACAAAAAAGATTTTTGAAACACGTTATACTAAAAGCTTAAGGGTCAAAAGCTTAGTGGGTTATGATATTTATGTAGCTATAAAAGCTTCTTATTAGATGCAAAATGGGTAAAATAAGAAGTTTAAAGTTAAATTATTTTTAAATATAGAAATGTGTCATTATTTTTGGAACGGACTAATAAGGAAAGTGCGTCATTTAAATTAAAACAGAGGGATTATATATATTCTTTAAGGAAATTCTCTCTCTCTCTCTCTCCTTCTTTAAGGATGTCACACATCGTATTGTGGCGGGATGGATGAAATGGAGGCTTGCTTCCGATGTTAAGTGTGATAAGAATGTGCCACCAAAATTTAAAGGAATGTTCTATAGAGCAGTAGTCAGACCGACTATGCTATATGGGGCAGAGTCTTGGCCAGTCAAGAACCCCATGTAAAGAAGATGGAGATGGCTAAAATGAGGATGTTGAGATGGATGTGCAGGCATACCAGGTTGGATAGAATTAGAAATGAAATTATCCGGGACAAGGTTGGCGAGGCCCCTGTGGAGGATAAGATGCGGGAGGCGAGACTTAGATGGTTCGGGCATGTTAAGAGGAGAGGCATTGATGCTCTGGTGAGGAGGTGTGAAAGGCTGGCGTTGAAGGACCAACGGAGAGGTAGAGGCAGGCCAAGAAAGTATTGGGGTGAGGTGATTAGACGAGATATATCGTTTCTCCAGCTGACTGAGGACATGACCGTAGATATGAAGGTGTGGAGGTTGAGAATAATATCTTAGTGTTAGTTTTGTATTTTCGCTTTGGTTTTGTATTTTCGCTTTGGTTGTCAGATTGGTTTGCTTGTTATTGCCCCTTCCATTTTTCCTCCCTGAGCCGAGGGTCTACCAGAAATAGTTGCTCAGCCTTTTTAAAGACAAGGGTAAGGTCTACGTATACTCTACGACTCCACTTGTGGGACTACACTAGGTTTGATGTTGTTGTTGCGCTCTCTCTCCTTCTCTTTAATTTAAATCATCTTTCGAACTTTATTAGCATCTAGCTGGCATTTGGATGGCTGAAACTTGAAAATAAATTTTTAAAGATGAGATAAAAAATAGTAT